GTTCTGGCTCTGGGATGTGGAGAGGGACTCGGCCTTGTGGAGAAGGACACTGGCCGTACGGGGGGCTGCAGGGCTGTGCTGAGCTGGGGGAGCCATCCCGGGACTGGGGGTGCAGCAGGGAGGTAAGGACCCGGCGGGTATCTCTGGTCCCTGGGGATGTGCGGTGCAACAGGATCTCTGGGAGCTACAGATTGATGCTGCTGGAAGTTTCCACAAGGGCCTCTCGTTGCTCTGGGGGAGCCGCCGCTTGAGGGTGCCCCACGATCCGCTTGCTCCCGCCACCTCAAAACCTCTCCTTCCTTGTGTGTGCAGAGCCAGGAGCTGCTCCCTCCTCCCGGAGGCCAGTCCTTCCTGCGCATCCTTGGCAGCGCGGCCGTCCTGCTTCGCTTTATTTTAGCTGCTTCTCCTCTTCCTGCTCCTTAAACACAACCAAAGCGCCAGGGAATTCCCCCCCCAGCATCAGGGAAGGAGAAAACAAACTCTGATGTTGGCAAGTGGCTGTCGCAGGCGTGTCGGAGCCAGACCAGGAGTTACAACAACAACAACAGAATTCCTGGCCAGTTTATTCTAAGACATTGCTTGATTTCCTGCTGTTAATATGTAAATATGCAGGTGTTTGAGCTTCTCTGTGCTGACTTTGAATACTTGCTTATAGCCCTGACAAACAAATGGGGCTGCTACCATCCGCGTGTTTTTTTTCCCCTTATGACTGTGCTTAGCTTCGTAATCCCGAGTGGGGTTTTTTTTTTGCAGTTGCCGAGGTCTTTCATGGATTTCAGGGGACTCTGATTCACCTTCATGGTCAAGGTGCTAATTAAAACCGTGGTAACTCAGATCAGGTGTGTCCATTGGCTTAAACAGAGTTTAAACTGAAAGTTAGAATCATGTTCACGCCCCTGCACCTCCAAAAAAGATGCATCAGGGAGATGGGAACGGAATTTTGGGAAGCAGAGACTCCCCTGCAACCGGAATACCCGGACTGATGGCTTGTGCCCTGTCTGTAAGTTGGTGTGGTACTTCCTCTCTCACTGAGGGGCTGTGACACAGTAACGAGGATATCGTTGTGATGGGGCTTGTAGTTGTGCTCTAAAATACACAAAACTTTTCCAGCCCCCCCCCCCCCCCA